CTGGACAAGTACAAGCAGGTGCTGGGCCACAAGATCGCCGAGCTGAAGGCGCAGATTGAGCCGCGTGAATTCCAGATCAACGACAAGCGAAAGCACATCATCGAGATGGAGGCGGAACTAGAGGGTCTCAACCAGAACAACGTGCAGCTGGAGTTGCAGTTGAAGGAGATGCGGGATAAGTACCTCAGCAATGTGGCCGAGCTCCGGACGGAGCGACATCGGGCGAAGGCCTCCCGGGAGTGTCTGCATGCTATCTGCTCGGACATTTACTACGTGGCTGGGGAGATCAACACGGCCGAGGGCCTTAAGAAAGCCGTCAAGGAGCTCTTCCGCAAGCACGCCTCCGATGATGAGCTCAAGCGATTCGTCACCCTGGACGCGGAGGTCAGGGATGAGTTTATGCGGCAGCGCAGGCAGATCGAGAATGTCCTGGACCGATACAAGTCGGTGGCCGAGGACAAGTCCGTGCAGAGGAAGTACGACAAGCTGTTCAAGGAGAACGTGATCCTGATTGAGGAGATCGAGAAGTTGAACGAGACCAACAAGATGCTGCGCAGCAAGGTCAAGGAGGACTTGCGCCGGTCGACAAAGTTGTCTAATTATAAGTAGAAAGGAATCTCTTCGTTTTCGCTAGGAAAGCATAGTCTATTAAAATATGTATTTCACATTGGACTTATCGAAAAATTTAGTTAAACGGCAAATATATACATACAAAAATGGCATTGGTTTCGTGTTAATTTACGTTCTAGGCCTCCACCAGGACTTTCTTGGGCTTGCTGCTGATTGCTTTGGTCTTCTCCGGCTCCTCGACGGATTCGCTTTCGGCGGGGGTCGGCAGATCGTCGGTGGGCACCTCAGGCAGCTGGACACCCTTCTGCTGCTCTTCCTCCGCCTCGAGGGCATCCAATTCGGCCAGCACATCCTCCTCGTCCTGCGTGGTCAGCACATCCGTCAGTATGGCGTCTATTTCCTGTTGCTTTTCAATGCCCTCGCGGGTTTCGTCCATGATTCGTTCCACCTCGTCGATGTCCAGCATGTCGTGCACCTTCTTCAGGGCCGCGTTTCCGGCCTTGAGGCCGTCCAGCACCTTCATCTCCACCTGAGCGAACTCCAGGTCTGCGGCCAACTTCTCCAGGTTCTCCAGCTGCTTGTCGGCATTGATAAGCAGGCTCTCCTGGTACTTCTTTTTGCGCAGCAGCAGTTTGGCCCGGCTGAAATGGAAGCACGTAGAGTTAGGGGAATCTGTGTAGACCACATACATCCGGTATTATACGTACTCCTTGCGACCCTGCTGCAAACACTTCCTGGCCATAAGTCGATCATTTTCCAACTGCGTTTCAATGCGTTTTTGGTACTGCTTAAGGCGATCCCTCTGTTGCTTCAATTGCTGCAATGGGAAAATACGACGGAGCTTGAGAAGACTTCCGGGTGACGTGTTGAACACCAACTCACCAGCACCGCCTTGTCCTGGTCGGTAATCCGGCTAGGAGCCGTCTTTTTGCTGCTTTTTCCAAACAAAGCTCCCATGACTAACTACGAGGCAGTGCTGCCAAATCGGCTATTTTGTAGCCACGCTGGCCAACGGTGGGAAATTTTCGGAAAATGTATGGCCATTAATAATTTTTCTTTTGCATTTTAGCAGTGGAAAATGTATATATTCAAAGAAAAACCTATTTTAAACAAATTAAAATGTAAGTTATGCGAATTCCTTCATTGTTTAATCACTTTTCAGCTACATTATATTTAAAGTCACAAACATTTAGCTATATGTAAATAATTTGGAAAAAGAGCTGGCAACACTGCAGTGTGGACGTTGTTGGAATAACGAAAAAGGTCACAGGTTCCGAAATAAATATTTCAAAACACTAGCGGAGACATGAACCCCAAAACAATTTAATGGAATTAGTAATTTGATTACAATTATTTTTCCTCGTCCGACCGTATCTTTAGTAATTGTAAGTCCCTATTTTTGTTACTAATATTTACTAGTAAGCATTATTTTTTACTTTTTCTTAAAGTTCAGATTCTTCGCTATTGAAGTACCGGAAATTCCTAGTCATCTATCATAATCAGTAAAATATATAGTATGCAATTCTACCGCGTTTTTTATTCCACCCACTAATGCAACAATACCACTCGATTGTACAGTTAATTATTCCGTTTTATTCGCACTTGCGTGCAAACCATTTTCAAGTTGTAAAAAATAGCTCTAATCCAAATTGAAAACCAGACAGAGTAGTTTAACGGTACGACTTCTGGTAGCGAGCACGGGCACCTGGACCGCCGAACTTCTTGGGCTCGCAGCGACGCGGATCGCCGACCAGCAGGGTTCTGTCGTACTGAACCAGAATGTCCTTGATCTCCTTCTTGGAGGCCTCATCAACGTCTGTAAAGAAGGAATTTCAAAGAGTTAGTAAACCATACCATTCAGAAAGATATTTAACAATAGTTTGGCAACAAGTGTCGATGAAGCCTCAAATAGCAATGGTCAAACATGCCGATCGCTCTCTTTGATTGCGACATTCACTTAATCTCCCTGCTCGAGTCTTTTCCTGGACACTGTTAAGTTCCAACAAAAATCTGGGAGAAGGTGCTATGGATTCTAAAAGGGCCTTTATGTTCCTGAAGCATCACCCAATATGTACAATAATCTTACAGCTTGGTTGGTATATGCTCATAATTTAATCTGCCTTTCAATAATGATTCGAGGGAAAATGCTTTTAATTCCAACAAAAATCTGGAAAAAGGGGCTGAGATTTCTAAAAACTCTTAAATGTTTCTGAAGCATCACCCAATCTGCACATTAATCTTGCAGCGTGGTTGGTATATGCTCATAATTTAATCTGCCTTTCAATAATGATTCGAGGGAAAATGCTAGTAATTCCAACAAAAATCTGGAAAAAGGGGCTCAGAATTCTAAAAACGCTTTAAATGTTCCTGAAGCAACACCCAATCTGCACATTAATCTTGCAGCGTGGTTGGTATATGCTCATAACTTAATCTACCTTTCAATAATGATTCGAGGGAAAATGCTAATAATTCCAACAAAAATCTGGAAAAAGGTGGTCAAGTCCAAAATGTTCCTGAAGCATCACCCAATCTGCACAATAATCTTGCAGCTTGGTTGGTATATGCTCATAATAAAGGTTAATCTGCCTTTCAATAATGATTCGAAGGAAAATGCTTATCAATTCCAACAAAAATCTGGAGAAAGACGTCTATGGTTTGGTGGACACTTTAGGGTCTATCAAAATATTTGCTGCTTGATCCAAATTGTTTTTTAAATGACACTTACATTTCTGGTAGAAGGCAACGAGGGCCTTGGAAATGGCCTGGCGGATGGCGTAGATCTGGGCTACATGACCACCACCGCTGACGCGCACGCGGATGTCCACGCCGGCGAATTTCTCCTGGAATATATAAATTGGGATGTGGATTAATAGAGATTTACAAGAGGTTATAAATTCGCTTTTTGTTTGGCTTTGATCAGAAACAAAAAGTAATCTCATTTGGCTTCGAATTCGGGATAAATGTTATCATCATTTTGGTTCTACAAGCCAAGCTTCCGTTTTCAACTACATATAATGTAATATATTGATCTTAGGTGTATAGAATTGTGATTTTTTAAGATTTTCCCTTTACAAGGATTAAGGATTTCAAGTGTATGCAACTAAAATGTCTTTAAAACAAGAAAAACTCTTGGTAGTTCACTTCTTAACTTAGTAATCCTTTTTAGCGTATAGCAAAGATGACATACTTTGTCCCAAAACAATTCTGGGGTTACCTTGAACGCTGTGTGAAAGAGTTATGGAAACGGAAACCCGGCTTTTCAAGACTACTCTTTCGCCTTACATACCTTGCCGAGCAACAGAAGGGGCTCCTGCAGTTTGTATTGCAGAACCTTGGGTTCAATCTGCTCCAGAGGACGACCGTTCACCTTCAGGAGGCCGTTGCCACGCTTGCAGTAAGCGACGGCGGTGGCGGTTTTCTGCAATATTAAAAATTTCCGGCATTACTATACGATCCATGAAGAGTCCTGTTGAAATCCAAATACCAGGTCAAAATCCTCGCACAGGCACACACACAAACATAACCTCTGCGATGAGGCGGCAGCCCCAAAATTTTAGCCGCCGCCGAAAGACGCGAGTTTTCTGTCTGCACGTGTCGTACGAAAATTTTTATGGATTTCTGCGGTTTAATTCACACACACCTTGCGTCCGAAGACCTGGACAGCCTGCACGGGTTCTCTGCGCTGCAAAATACAAAGATTTGCAACATTTTAGGCATTAGTTAGACACGAATTCTCTATTTTTTCACAGGCACAAATACCTTCTGCTGCATTTTGCTCCGCGAGTTGGGTAGGAAAAGAGCGGAAATCGCGTTGACAGTTAGAGTGACCGGTTTTTCGACTATCGCTCAACTGTCAAACAGAAAATACTGAAAAGCGACATCTGCCGGATAGTGTTTGAAAACGGAAAACTATCGGACTTGTATATTTTTGTTTTGCTTATAAATTATTTAAAAAACTTTTTGGATGCTCTTCTAGAGTTAAATCACTACCAAGTGTCAGCAATTAAGTAAGTAATACTATAGTATTCTAAATAATTTTTAATTCGCTTTTTGTAACTGTGTAAATATTAACAATCATTTTATTAAATGCATTTTGTCTAGGCCTTTTTTATTAAAACAAAACAATTTTGCAAAGTTTAGTAAACTTAGATATTAAAATCAAAAGAACACAGTCTGCATTGTTTTCAAAACACCAATTTACGGCTTGAGAAATGTGGCCATCATTTTCCTCTTCTAGATTAATATTCAAATATAAATAAACTAATTACTCGTTATTTGAGTAGTTTATGTCAAAAAATAGTAGTCTAGAAAGTGGAAATATTTAGGTAGTATTTGGGAATCGTGAGTTTTTGGTATATTCATACTATCGTCTCAAAGATACCCGCCGACTATCGTGTACGGAGCTGTGCCATCTCTAGCGCAATCGATAGCTTGCCATCTCCAGCACAAAGGCACTGAAAAACGGGTGTAATTTTGGTGCATAAGTGTCAGTGATACCCGAAAAGTGCTTATAGTGCTAAATTCCGCGAGCCAAACATGGTTGTCTGCACAGCCACGAAGCCCTCGGAAACGAGGCAGTTGCCCGCGATGATGAAGGAGCACCCAGAACTGATAGATAACCGCGCGAACCCTGAACCTGGTGACCCTGTCGATGAAGGAGGGGTCGCTGAGGAGGATCGTGAGGAGGGGGAGATTGTCGATGAATTTGAGCTGATCATTTCGTCTGAGGACGAGGAGTTTAAGCTGCGCGCCCGCATCCAGCAACTTGAGGAGAACAACAAGGATGTGGAGCGCATGGACATGCTATCCGCCAACTTGGCGCATGAATACAGTAAGCAACATGTTGGCTTCTACGCATGTAGAAAATAGGGCTTCGCCTTGGGGGTGCAATCTAAAACGCTATTTGTTATTCAATCGTTCTGATCAGTACATATACTTTCTTTGCAGATTACCCAAATCCTGAGCCGCGATTGCCTTCCTACCGACAAAAGTCGCCCGTTCTAATACTGTCGGATGTGTCCAGCCAGTCGGAGGACGAGTTTGAGGCTCAGCGCAAGTATCGGAAGCATAAGCTGCGACGCGTGGAGCTTGGCAAAAGGCATCATAGTTCGTTGCTTAGTGACTACCGCAGAAATCCCTTTGCCAGACGCCACAAACAGTTGCCGCCACCACCTCCGGTGACCACGCAGCGCCGGCGTCAGACCTATCATCACCACCAACAGCCCAGTCATCAGCAACATCGCCATCAACAGCACTACACACTGGAAGATTCTCTGGAAAGCGACGGCGAGCTGGGCGAGTACGATATGAACGAGGACAATGAGGACGACGAGATAGACCTTCAAAGACTCAAACTGAGCAGGGATAAGTTGCGGGTGGCCTTGGCGCGGGAGGACGGGCGGGATTTCGTTAGTCAGTACAAGAACAGCCTAAGGGAGCGACTGCAGTACCGCATGCACAAATCTCCCAGTCCTCCTCACAGAAAAAAATATCAGCAGGAAGAGGAACTTCCTCTGCCACCGCTGCAGGCACTCTCAGACGACGGCGAGGAGGAACCCGAACAGGAGGAGCAACAGGATGAAGATCCTGCCGAGCTGAAGCTGCGACTGATAGCCCTTAAATCTGCCATATTGAAAAAGCATTTGGCGCGAAAAAAGCGAGATGCGGAGCGAGCCTATTCGCCCACTGATATGATAAATCGAGTGCATCCCGCCATTTCCAATGACGATATCGACGACCTCATGGAGATCAGTCCGGCAGCATCGCCAGAACGAGAACAAAGTCCGCCCAGATACTCAACAGACTACGCCGTGGACACCAAGCCCGTTGATATGGAACTGGCTGAAACGGACAGCGATGATCAGAATAAGGATGTGTGGATTCCATGGTCAAACAACTGGAATTCCATTGACAACGCAGGCGGCAGTTGGCGCTGCTTTTACCCCAACAATCTGCCGCCCGTTTCGATGCCCATTGTGATAGACGACGAAAATGAGGAAGATATGAAGATGGATGATCGGATAAGAAGAGAGAATATGGCTTATTTCGACGACGACGAAATACCGCCGCCGCCACCACCCTTTCACATTCCTCAGATGCATCTGGAGGACGAGGATGCCCGAGATGCCATGCACCTGGTCGATCAGCATTCCAATCACAGTTCTATTACGGAGATGCAGTCTGTTTCTATGGAGAACTCGCAAACACATTTGAGGAGTCTGGACCGATCTCAACCAGACTCGAGTGACGACGAGGCGGGAGCATTGCGAGCTATTTTGCTATCCAATTTACGATCGTGCAAGCCACCACCACCACCTCCTCCAACGACTTCTCCTCATGTAGCTTCCTGCTTAGTTTCTGCTCCGGTTCCAGCTGCTGTACCAGATTCTATTACATCCCCTGTTTCAGCTCCTGCGCTTGCTCCTGTACCTGTTCCGCCTCCTTCACCGGTTCCCGCTCCTGTTTCTGGTAGTGTTCCTGGTCCTGTGGCTCAACTTAAAGAGGAATCAAACCAGGAAAATGATTCAGATGATCCAGAGGCGTTACGTTTATTGCTCCTTTCTAGCATAGCTGGTAAAAAGCGGGCTAGTGGCTCCAAATCCAAATCAGGTTTAAGTCCAGAGATACTCAAGAATGCTGTGAGGCGCTTCCAAACCACGGAACTATCAATTAAAGATGAGGACGAGTCACAGGATCAGCAGCCAATTCTGGAAGATAGTACTAAACTAGAAGAAAGTACTAAAATAGAAGAGAGTACTAAGCTTGAAGCAGAAAACGAGATAATAAATCAGCCTGTTGTGGAGCCTATTCAGTTGGAAGCTGCTCCCATCCACAAGGAACCCGTTGAGTCCCCACAGCCAGTTACCAAACTTGCCATACAGGTCAAACAGCAGACCTCACCCTCCACTAAAATCATCAAGATTATCAAGCCCAACAAGGTGATCAACAAAAAGACAACGACCAAGCGGAAGTTACCAACTAATGAGGTATCTGGGTCAGATTTGAGCGTTAAGCGGCCAACAACATTAATGATCAAAGAGCCCAGCGCACCACTGCATAGTCAGACCGTTATCACATCCAGCACTCGCCTCATTACCACCGTAGATCCAGCCAGCATCAAGGTAAATAAGCTAATCATTAGCTTAGCAGAGGAGTCTGCCGCCAGCGATGATGACCTGGAGCTGAGTTCGAGCTTTGCTTATGCAAATACAGACATTGCCAGCCCTTTAAGTTTGGCGATGGGCAGCTTTAGTGGCTCCACCACTAGGTCAAATACTCCCATATCCGAGATTGCAGAAACGGCTCCCAGTGCTAACAACAATCTCAGGCGAACTGTGATTAATGAATACTTTGAAAAGAAGATCGATGATTTCCTGAAGCAAGCTAGATCCAAGGCTCCAGTGTCTAACTCACCAGAGGCGGAGCCAGAAAAAATTCCTGAAAAGCCCAAAGTTGAAGAGAAGCAGCCAACAATTATTCCTACCCCAAAGGCACCGCCGGCTAAAACAACTCCAGTGGTAAGTTTGGGGTTAATTTTTTTTCCATACGCGAAATATATCAACCGAATCAATCTGTTATAATTCTATTATATTTCTTAAAGGCTGTTCGTCATTTACCAGTGGCATCGCAGAAGGAATACCTCCGATTGATCGAGCGTATGCAAATGCTGGAGCAGAAGAAGGTTCGGGCACCCAAATCAGCAGCTCCTGCCCCCAAAAGCAAAGTGCCTACTCTGGAGAAACCATCGCCCAACAACAGCTCGTCGCCAACCACGGCGAAAGTTGTGCACAATCCAGCAAGTGCCACCATCACCATTAAAGCTACCTCAGAATCTGAGAACCCGCTAGTTAAAGATACGGACTCAAAATCACCAAAACCAAAAGCCAAGCTGAATCAACCGTCCAAGGAGAGTCGATTAAAGGCCTTTGAGAATTCATTTATCAAGATTGGGTAGATATTTGTGTGGGCAGAGCCTAAAGATACTGATTACGTTCCATTGCAGGGGAAGCATGCTAGTTAATCTGGACAAATCGCTGCAGATGGTCGAAGAGGCCAAAAAGTCAAAGGCAATACGTTTGCGATGCTCACAGCGTCTCAAAGAACTTTACGCCGAAATGCAGACTGTTAAGCATGCAGTCAAACAGGAGGAACTTAAGCTGGCAAGGATTCAGCCGGAGATTCAGGCCAGCCATGAGATCATCATATCACTCAAGCAGAAACGTCACAAACTCTATACGGCGGCTATGGACTTGGGCCGTGGATTAAGGGGCGCTGACTACAGGTATTACCACCATCAACCACAACAGCAACCAGAACGGCGTGGGAAAGCTGGAACAAAACGATTACAGAAATCACATCAAAAAAAGGGCATGGGGAAGTTCTATGCGATTATAAGTTTGTTTTCCTTGCAGGTTACTCGACGAGGGCAAGGTGGCCATAACCAGCAAATCTACACAACTCACCAAAGAGATACGTCTCTACAATTCCATAGTGAAGTACGAAGACCTCAAAAAGTTGACTGATGCGAGGGACAGTCAGCCAAATACTGTGATCGAAATGGAATCAAAGACGAATCCAAATGAGGGGCCAAAAGATGTGAAGGTGCTGAATCCTCAGGATCCCACAGCCTCCGAACCTACTCAACCTGCCACACAACCTGAGATCGGTAAACAACCCGAAACGGAAACAGAGCCTGCGATTGGAAGCCAACCTGAAAAGGAGACAGAGACTCCAGATGTGCGTGGATTTCGATTTATACAAATTGCTTCAAAAACTATAGCTAAGAACCTCATTCAACGCGATTTTCCGCTGTTATTATTGAACGTTTACTTTAGTCCCGAGCGTTTTGTCAAAAGCCCGCACTAACAAATCGGTTGAGTTTATTTTCAGGATCAGGCGCAGGATAAACCAAAAAGTGTTTCCATTAAGACCTCAGCACCCTATACGGTAACCACCATGCGAGAACTGCGCGAGGAGCAGGCCAACGAGCTTCATAGGGATGGCTATTTAGGGACCTATCAAACGCCGATGTCCAGGAACTACAATAGGTGAGTAGGATTTGTAGGCTCAGGTCACTTGCCGAAATGTATTTGCTTCGTTTTGTCATTCCCAAGCCACCTCGATGTCCACGCCACCATCTGCCCCTTCGATCTGATGGGTCGCTGCGAGGATGCGGACTGCTCCTACCTGCATTTAGCCCGCCCCGACTTCCAAAACGAGCTGCCAAAGACAAACCTCTCTCTCAATAACTAACAACAAACAAAACTCACTAAAACACTAAAAGTATACATAACCCGAAAAAAACATTTAATAGCGTGCTTGAATTCTGGTAAGTTGAACTCTTCACGCGACTTAATATTTAAATGTTGCTTTCAGTCAACGTTAAAAAGAAAGAAACCCACAAATCAAATGCCAAGCAGACGAAGAAAGCAGCCGCCGAAGCAGCGAGTGCAAAACCATAAAAAGAGAAAAAAACAAAGAAAAAAACAATCGTTACTAGGTTGTACCTTGTTTGTTATATACATTTATATATATATATATCGTGTAGTGAAAGTTCTTCGTTCGCCGACGCTCGAAAACGTTTTTTCGGGCTAAAGTTTGAACGGATGTGCATCCTAACTTTCGCTTATGATTTTGTAATTTTTTTAATTTAAACGATTTTTAAACAACCTCGCCATAAATGAATGCAAACAATTAGAACTGCATAAATCCTTAATTTCAATACGCGAAGCCTATAAATACTTTATTTGAATGCCATTAAATATAGTTTTCGTATCGCAGAGTATGCCAAATTTTTTTTATTATTTCGGAATCTTTTTTCAATAATTATTAAACATGTTTAATTATTATAAAGTTTTCTAAAAATGCAAAAAATGAATTTATAAAACAAATTCGGCAAAAAAAAAGAGAAATAAATAAAAAACATACAAAATGAAATGAAGTGGGTTTTTTTAGTGGGAAAGGGTAAAGACCGCAAATACGCTAATTTAGCCTTGTTTATTCCTAAATATAATTTAAAATAAATACAGTGGTTTATCACAGCCAATATCCAAACAGAAGGGCGAAATAATTTACAGAGTTGGGATCGCCTCCTGTCCCGCATCCAGGTTCTATTCGTTGCCATAGTACACGTACTCCCTGCACCAGTCCTTGATGCCATCATCGTTGCTACAGCAAACGGGGTATACGAAATCCGATTTGGTCACCTTGGCACACCTCATGCACAGCTCCATGGTATTGGAATCCTTCTCGCACTGCTGCACTTTCAGAACTGTTTCCACCGAGAGATTCCCATGATACTCGCTGGGGTCCGCATTGACCTCTTCCCCCGCTGAGGGTCGGGCATCGGCACCGAGTACGAGTAGGGTCACGATCAATATATTGCAGAAGATCTGTAATCAGTCGAAAGTTGAACATTTCATTAATTGAATTTTCGGTGATGGCACAATTGAGCAGCTAAAGCTGTTCGTGGCGCTTTTGTCTGGTTCTAACTCAACACGTAAAGTCCGAGCCAGATCAAACGAGTTTGATGGAGTTTAACCTTTAGTCACATCTTAACAAAAGGACTACGTCTACTGATTAATCAGGGTCTTTGACCCAAGTTCCGTTTGCAATGCACCGAATATGTTGGCCGACAAACACCATACATTATGACGTATATCAGTTTAAATAAATCTGTTTCACTTTCTAAGGAAGATTCGATTAATTAGTTCAATTCACTTTGAGTGTTTTTTCTTTCGGCACTTCGCACCTGTTCTATAAATCATTTTGAAGTGTAATTGCTTTATTTTAAAGTTTACTTTAATCGATGATTAGCACCTGGCATTATCATTGGTATTTTGCTAGACTTTGTATTCGAACCATATAATTCAGGGACAGATTTTAATGTTTGTGCTTACTTTCTGAGCCATTTTGTTGCTTCACTAATACTTTCTTCACACCACGACGAAAATGTATAACTCTCGATGTATTATTTCCTTTTGACGATCTGACCGCAACTGGACGCTAGCGAGGCTTGAGCATTACTTTTTATACTTGGGGCCAAAGCCAAAGCTAACGAACAGATCGTGCTGAGATCGTGCAGCATTCGTGACACATAATTGTTGATAGGCGAGTACCAGGTACTTCTTACTATCTCGGCCGAACGTGCCGCTTTGATGGCAAGGAGTGGGCAATTCCCTCCAAAGTAATCACACTGGCTGGTTTTTACAATGGGTTCGGTAATCGCGCATAATTTTGGGATAGACATAGTGATAGACAGGAACTCAACGCATGCCTTTCTTAATCTATGCTACGACTTAGACTATATATACTTTTTAGATTTGACCGACTAGCACAGTCGATTTTTTGTGAATGGATTCCTGTCAACTTAAAAATCTTTAAAAAAGAATCCAAATATGGAGAGCACTATAAAGTTCTTTTTGGTTGGAATGCCGAATCTGAAATCGACAACGCACCTTCTATTTCATTCAAAAGGTTTTTTACTTTTTATATTTTTTATAAGCAAAATAAATGTTATACATATATCAGAAATAATTTATTTCAAACATATCACAATTGAAATAATGAACTTGTTTAATACATATAACTACAGTGGTTGGCGTTAAATAGAACCCTTGCACTTAAGCATGGTTAAGCCCTAACCGACAATATAATGTATGCGAATTTTTTATAATTTTAGTTCAGAAGTATTGTATTTGTTTAAAAATAAGTAAGAGGTAGAAGAAAACGTTTTATATATATATAATATTGGGTCCCTAACCGAGTCGATCTAACCATGTTCGTCTGTTTTTCTGTCTGTACGAACCCTAAGAACTGGGAGATTTAAGCATGAAAACTTTAGGAATACGTTTTCCACCAGAAAAAACACTTTAAAATATGCGAAATATTATTTTATTATTTTTTTGTAATCGGTTTTTTCATTCAATAATAACTGTAAGATTTCCTTGTTTATTTGAGTCAATTTATTGACGATATCTTATGAAAAAAAGAAAATAAAGCTGGAAAATATTTTGGCGAACTCACTGACGCAGCTTGTTAGTCTAGTACATTCTGAGCTTTGAAGCTCGCCCATGCAATATATTCCTATGACGATCGAAATAATATATGTATGCCCGCATAGTGCACATAAATGTTGCGTATACAACGTTAATTAGTGAAACATCATGTTGCTGATAAGGGGATTTCAGGGGCGCCTAACTGATTAAGAGCGATCATTCTGAACCGAACCCAGCTTCGCAATTTTATTGTGCAATGTCTCGGTCAGAATTTACTTCCGGCAATAATACATCATACATCATAGCATGTTATACGCATACTCTGGATGACCTCACCCACCATCTATATAACCCTTTTAAAGATCAGTTGTTTATCCATATGATGAAATGTATTTATTCCCTCTGCGAAAACTAATTAACGTTGCATCAGAATATGTAATTGCATATCAAATTCTTGGAACTGCCAGCGGTTATTCCCCTAAATAGATGTAGACAGTAAAAGCGTAAACTTTTAATTGGTTTATTTTTCCGCACTTTAAGTGCCCATGTAACATTATCGAAGGTCGTGAATGGTAAGTTTCCATTGGAAAAAAGGGGACTTTAAAATAGACTTGCAACAAAAACGCATTAAAAAGGCGTTTTGTTTTATTGAAAAAAAATCTGGGGAAAACAAATGAGGGGATTTAAAAAATCCCAATAAAGGCTCAATAAAAATTAACCCTTACAGCAACCTTGATCCCGTCTGATAACACTTGATTGAATACAAACAACATCCTTCTCCTCATATTAATCTGCCGTGTAATCCATTCACAACAAATCAAAACATTGAGTTATCTAAGGGGAATTTCGAATAAGAAGGTTGTACTACGATTAGAAATGGCAGAACTATAATTGAAATGATGCGTAGATTATTTCATGATTTCATTAACTTTACTCCCGGGAAAAGTTCCTCGGATAGAAGGCGATCCACCGATTACTGGGTCCATCTCGATTTCTATATTTGAAGACCTAGTTTGAAGTATACCAAGCAAACAAACAATGCAGTGCTGATTAGGCTAATCACATCATCGGAATTGTTATTGAATCAATTACTAGATTTGCATCAAAGCTTTTACATATACCTAAATCCATTTAAACCTTTGGTTTATTTCTAGAAGTAGGTGTCTTGAACAGATTTTTTCGATGCACATATTCATTTAGTATCCAGGGCATTGTCATTTAATTCGACTATAGAAAACCAATAATAAACAAGATTCCCTGCGCGACAATGAACTTTGGAGCTGAAGATTAAAGCAATCAGACGGTATTTGTGTTGATTTCTTTCGTTTTTGAGTTAATTAGTTCAATACGACGGACAGGGAAGCACGTTCGTTCCATATAGTACTTCCCCAGACTGGTAATCAAATCAACACGAATCTGGGAACATGAATTATAACCTTACCGTGCAATATTTTCAAAAAATCACGATTCTTTTTTATACTGGTAAGTGGTTATTGATCGATGGCCCTGTTGCCGGGTGGATCTCCCGCGCATACGGAAACTCTTGTTTCGGTATTTATAGTGAAGAGCTGGAAAAGATTACCGGATCGTTGGCTATAAATATAACTAAGAATGTTTACATCGCGGTGGCCGAGACTTCCCTTATCAGAGGGAGGTCACCCACCGCCATTGTTTGTTTGCCTCTGTCTCGGTCCTAGATGAGTAATTTCATCAGCCAAATTATATAGTACTCACCTTGGTTGACCCCATAAATAATGGCCTGCTTTCCACCCACACAGTCTGTGAATGACTCCCGCATGCCCAAAGTCCATATCTTTAATCTTGATGGCGCTTAATGATCCATTTAGCATGAGGCTGAAGTGTGCCTCTGATCGAAGGATATAAAATTATTGCTGGCGTTAATGCGTTATCGGTCACGAGTGGATCGTTAAAGTTAATTGACCCTATAACGATTTTTCTGAATTTCCTTTTGATTTCGATTTGCGACTTATGGCCCGACAGACTATGACAAATTTCAATTGGTTAGAAAATCAAGATTATAGATCGTTGTTATTATAGATTGTACATTCATTTTATTTTGGTCCATATAATAGTGTAGACGGCAGTCCACATAAAGACGAATCACACCGGTAGTATAAAATCAGCTACGATAGTCGGATCGAAAAACGTGACGATCCGACTTTTCAAGTTTGAAGAAATATCGTCACGTTTTTCGACCAGACTCTCATTGCTAATCCGATCAAAAGATTGTTTTTAATTTCGAAATTAAGACTTTTCAAAAGGTTATTCCTTTAAAAGAAGTTCCGACAAAACTACAAAACATAAATAACGATGGTTAACGAGTTCGTCTTAAAAACGTATGTTCAACCTCTTCTTAAAAACCGTATAGCTTAACGGGAAATTGCTTTGAGTAGCTACATGTAAACGACTGACGACAAATGCTGTGTGTCGTTAGAAAAGTATTTAAAAATGTTAAATAGAACAGTCTCAAGAAACTTATTTCTGGGAAATTTTCTCAAAGTTCGAAAGACATTTTTTATTTAATCCGACAAAATTAAAAAAAACTTATTCGGATGTAAACATCGACTCGGCTAGTGATCCTGATCAGGAATATATATACTTTATGGGGTCGGAAACGCTTCCTTCTGCCTGTTACATACTTTCCGACGAATCTAGTATACCCTTTTACTCTACGAGTAACGGGTATAATTAGTGTTTTAAAGATGTTATCCTCACGACATTACTACCTTGTTGAGAGGTGTCTTTTTTATTAACATTTTATCTTAAAACATGCATATTTATACCCGTTACTCGTAGAGTAAAAGGGTATACTAGATTCGTCGGAAAGTATGTAACAGGCAGAAGGAAGCGTTTCCGACCCCATAAAGTATATATATTCTTGATCAGGATCACTAGCCGAGTCGATCTAGCCATGTCCGTCTGTCCGTCTGTCCGTCTGTCTGTCCGGATGAACGCTGAGATCTCGGAAACTATGAGAGCTAGGCTATTGAGATTTGGCGTACAGATTCCTGAGCTTCTTACGCAGCGCAAGTTTGTTTCAGTAGACTGCCACGCCCACTCTAACGCCCACAAACCGCCCAAAACTGTAACTCCTACAGTTTTGATGCTAGATAGAAAATTTTAACTGAAATTTATTGGTCTCATCAATACCTATCGATTGACCTAAAAAAAAGATTGCCACGCCCACTTAAACGCCCACAAACCGCGAAAACCTGTGACGCCCACAATTTGCATGCTTGATAAAAAATTTTAACTGAAATGTATTGGTGTCGTCAATACCTATCGATTGATCCAAAAATAAATTTGCCACGCCCACTCTAACGCCCATAACGCTTAGATCTGTCTACCGCCGGTAGGTGGCGCATATTAATCTCGTTTAGCTGCTTGCATATCTCCATTTCCCTTTGAGTAACGGGTATCTGATAGTCGAGGTACTCGACTATAGCGTTCTTCCTTGTTTTTTTCGATATATTCAGTATATGCCTGTATTTGCAAAAATTTATTAACGTATTAAATATTTTTTAATTTTTTACTTTTTTGAATTTGTAGCTTACTTGTATTTTACACAAAAGCTTGGAAGACTGAACATTTTTGTTGGTAAAAAAATAAATAAACTGCTTAAAAGCTCTCTTGTCAACTCAATGTACTTAACACAGGCTCATTCTACATAAAACAATTTGTAAAAACAACTGAGAAATTGTGCTCTCTAAATTTTAAATGTTAAAAATGAATAAAGGAACATTATAAACCTTTAAACGCGAATAGCTTAAGTTTATATTAGGTCCTTTGACGAGAACTACATTTATGCTTTGCTGATAATAAAATATTACAGTTTTAATAGTGTTTAAAACAAGTAATTTAATAGAGATTTAACATTTTCAGAGAGCCCAATAAAGGGAATAATGTCATGCAAATTCAAGCTACACATATTTAACCTAACCTTTGTAACCAAATTCAGCTAAATAAACTGTTTATCCACTGATTACCCAAATGTTTGCCTGCCAACTAATTAAATTGGTTGCCAGAATGTAGTCGACATTTGCCGAATGGGAAATATCCCGGGAGACACCAGATTTGCATAGTTTATGGCAGAAGTTGTACAAATGCCATTCCGATGTTAGGCAGACAGTAGGCCCCATTATCCCCCATTCAATCATTGTCCGTTGTCCGTTGTCAATTGCCAATGGCCAATAGCCAATGGCCATTGCAGTGATATTGATTTTCTGTACCGAAACCCCTGATGGAAACCCATTACGAGTGCATACTACATAGTATGCTATAGCCAAGGTCAGTTCTAGACCGCGCCAACCCTATTATTGGGGGATTTGGGGGGAACGTGACCCGGCTGGCCGTTCATTTCTATTCAGTGTCACCTGTGTCGCCTGACCTACAAAACGTACCCCACACATAATAGGGGTAAATATCAAGTCAAATGTGTGCCGACTTATGCAAGTCACTTTACATTTGGAAGCTGATGCATTTGGCCTAGAATAAGCTGAATTTATCAGTAAGCCTTTGGTCGGTCTGAACAACCAACCCTAAGGGTTGCTTGTCATCACACTTAAGATCACCAGGATAATTGGGGTGAACCTGGTTTGTATTCACATTAAAGGACTTATACCACTGTGGCTTAAAAATAATTTTGTAAGAACAGTTGTAATTTAATGTTTAATGTATTTTTTGCAGTACCCAAGTCAAAGATATTGTAACACAAATTATAAAACAGAAGTAGTGTCCTGCGCTAGTTAAAATCTTTGCATACTTTCTGGCGGCGGTCTCAGGGAACTGAGGAAAGTATACCAAACGTTATATATTTAAAATTTTAATAGTGGTAGAGATTTATGAAGACTACGCTGGAAACTCAAAAACAAGTTTAAAATATTTAAACTAACAATTTAGCAGTTCAAACGACAAGGAGAATATTTCAATATCTTTTAGATTACACTGCAATACTCCATAATAAACATTACAGGTCGATTGTGATGCTAGTCACGTAAGCGCTTGGCAACGATCTCTAAGTGACCTTCATAAGACTCAGTTGATCTAACTGGCTTAGAGCAACCTATTTTAAAAAACCCTCTTTTTTATGCTTACCATATTGTGGTAACTGAGAGATACATATAATATATATCTTGACTTACAGGTCCACCCTAATCCTCCCAGACCGACACATTAGTCTTCATATTGTGCAGGTCGGTCGAATAAAACACAAACAGCTGAAGTGAAGATAATGCAGTAAGCCAGATGAGAAGAAGATGTACAACCAGAAACAGCTGCATTGCACTGAAAAGAAAAGAGATCTGCACATGCGCCATCGCATTCGTTCAACAATTTACCTGCATTTCAATTTCAATGCGGCGAGCAGAAATCTGATAACAAAAGCCCAGTGGCTAAAAACAAAAACAACAGCAACAGCTGGGCAACATAGAAGTTGAATGAAACAGGCAGTAACAGCTGCCTTTGACTCTCTTCTCGCCCCCGCAGTGAATACATCACAAAAATATGTTCTCTTAATGCACTTAGAAAAAAAAAAAATTAAAAAACTGTTAGCACAAATATCAGTGGCGGATCTATAATTTGGTTGTAAGGTTTTTGGTTTTGGAGTGGAAATCAAACATTTTTGAACAAAGTACATATTCCATATACTTTTTAATCCGAGTGGGGGGATCTGTACCCCATATCCCCCGTGTATTCGCGCATGAAAAAATTGTATTTGTTAACAAAATATGTAAAAAATAAAAAATGTTATATATAAATAAAAAATAATATATATCAAATTCATATTTAGTTTATTTTATAGCTTATTATTTTTGAAGTCTGGTGTATTGAACTCAGGACTATTATAATTTAAGGGCAATATAGACAAAGACAATGTATGTACATAGATACAACATATTTTAAAAAACATTTAAGAAAAGTTAAAATTGAAGATACTTATTTTCCTAAAATAAAGTTGTGCTTAAATTTTAAATAAAAAAAAAATTTTTATTTTCCCAATCCAATTTTTTTTAAAGTTTTTTTTTGGAAAAAATTTTTTATTAGGAATATTGCCTTGAATTTTGGAAAAAATATTTTCTGAGTGCACGTTTCTCTTTCGAAAGAGAAACTCGTGGGCTCTAAATGCCCGAAGCGCCCTGGCGAACTGATTGAGATTGCGAGAGTTTAAGGGAGAGCGAACGGACAGAAATCTATTTAAGCAACCCGCAGCGCTCACATTTTTTCACTCGATTTTCGGCAGCGCTGTGTTTAACACCTAAGTATCAGAATACAAAAACAACCAGAGTATTCGAAAAATCGCCGGGAAAAAATATCACGAAATGATATTTAAAATTTTTGTATAAAAATAAAAGAACGGTATAAAATTTATTGTGCTTCACCAGACAGCCAATAAACAAGCAGAAATAAAATTTCGAAAAACCAACAACTGTAGCAAAAGCAACAATCAAAAGTTTATACGAAAAGCGTGCGTGCGTTCGTTGCCGTGTAATAAAAATGTGTACAAAATTCCAAAAGTGCAAATTTATTTAAATAACTCCGCAGTGCTCAACGTTCAAAGTTAACAAACAAATCAAATAAAAAAGAAAACCAAAACAAAAACTGAAATAGAAGTTTCCTAGACTGGAACAAAATACGCGAACCTAATTGAGTTTGGTGCGCAGAAGAGTAGGAAAAAATATATTGCAACCTGTAGCTCGGGCTTTGGCTTTGATTTTGATTTTGAATACGGCTTTTGTGCAAACAAGCCGGAAGCCAATCCCAAATGCAATTGTTTTGAACCGCAGCTGAGCAGAGCTTTTACCTGTTAGACAACAAATCAAGCGGCAGCAGCAGCAGCGGCACAAAAGCAACAATATGTGGTGCATTGTCAACTTGCCCAACGGCACCCAACAAGCCGTCAAGTGGGATCCCAAAGCCAATGGTCAGGAGTGTCTGGAGAAGGTGAGTTCATCGGTGCTATAGATAGAACACACTAGGGGGTAATTTTCCATACAATCCGCTTGGCAGCTTAGCGAAAATAGCACTAAAATGGGTTCCGATCGAGTATAGGAAGCTTAGGAAACGATTCTATAGGTATATTTGTATAATTCACACTGAGAAATGTTTTGAAAAATGTTTTCAAAACGTCACATGTTACAAATAGTTTTCATAATTTGCTACCATATTAAAATGGAACATGTTCTTTTAAAGACAAAGTGTTGATATGGTTATTGGAATTTCGAAGAAATCAGAAAACATCCCTTGAAACTTGAATATACTACATTTATTTGACCCCAGAATCTTTTGGAATAGCAACAACTTGCAATTCCATTAAAAGTATTAATATCACTCATAATGTATTCGAGTTTTATCTTCTATATTATGGGTTCTTTCAAGAAGTTCAAGATATGTTCGATCCCGACCCTAAAGTGAGAACCTATATATATATACCTATATAGGATCTATAGATCAGTTAAAAATATTCCCATAGTACTTTAGTTATTATTACTCGGAGTCAAGGCACTTGGTGCATTGAAAGTGAAGAGCACATCCCTAAAGTTTATACAACACAAGGGAAAGTTACCACCTTCATTTAATAGAGGTAACCAAACTATCCAGCCAAGATAATGAAATTACTTCATAGCTTATCGATCCTCAAGTACTTTATGCAATGTGACACGCGTATGATATTCCTATTAAACTACGTGTCCCTTCATCAGAGGATATGGTGTAACACTAAAGGGCCTTCAAATCACTTGAGTCGGTGGGTATAGAAATTGAAATTGGTTGTTTTATCTTCGGAAATAAATAACTTAAAAATGCTTACTTCTTTATGACGAACGTGCAAAATTGTTCACGACGCCATACCAACAAAAATGTGCTCATTTCATTTTAATGGAGGCCTTTTTTCATGGGTAATTTCGGTACGGCTAATACCAGAGCGGCTTACTATAAAAAATGTTATAAAAGAATCTTCCTTTAGGGGTACTCGGCATTCATACGAAAATGAAGTACTCGATTCAATTTCAATTAACATTTTTTGTGGGGGGCCTGGATCTGTAAACTGCGGTACATGTTTTCAACGCTTATCAGTGACAGAAGTGAGTGTGTTTTTTTCGATTCGATTTCGATTCGCATTTTGTTATCAACACGGGGGGCCATGTCCAATTTCAATGTCTTGTTGTTTACTAGTTTTGCGCTAATTCATTTTAAATGCCAAATACCCTTGACTCAAGCTGCCCCCCGCGATAGTTTTTCAGAACCCCAAGGTGTGTGGAAGGAAAAAACAATAGAAAGCGGGGTATAGGGGTTTGTACAGGCGTCCTAAAAAGATATATTACTAATATAATAGCAAAGTTACAATAATGATATGGTAAATAACATTATTCCGTGGCTTATCATAGAATATAATCTTAAGGTTCAGGATACTAACGTTATCGCTATGATATATATTATATATAATGATATGAAATTTGTTAACAAAGCTTATTAATAGTTTCAAGATCTACTTGAGTTGATCATCACTTAAGATCACTTCGCTTTCTTTCCGTGTATGATTTTACTGGTGGGTTCAATGTCCAAGTGTTCGCCACTTGAGGCGTTTAGTGCAAACACTTGACCAATCCGCTTCTGTTTGGCTGAGCTCTGTTACTACGAGCGATATACATACGATTATGCGTTCCCCTCCACATAATAGACCAAAACTCCCCCTTTCACAGACCCGAAGATTAAAGTCAATTCGCCCTGTTTGTCGGGCTAATTAAGTCGTTGGCTTATTTGCGACCCGTACATTAGTGTTTGTGCAATCTAATCAGGCAAACTTATCAAATAACGGGCTCGCACACAGAGCCATTAATATTCAGGTGAATATATACATATGTCCCAGGCCCATTTCAGCCCCGATTCGTTGCCAACTTTATTATCTCACTTGGAAAACAAGAACCGACAACAGCGTGAGGAAAACAGCAAGACAAGAAAATATGCTTCATCAACCTGGGTTTATCTTATCTAACACCAAACCCTATCAGAGGAGCTCATTTGCTATCACCATTTATGGCTCTGAACTGAAAGTTAACATCAATTTGGGGCAGAACGTAGATGGTTTTTTATGGGTAGCTTAGCTCTAATCGTTACAAAGGTTACGATTTCAGTTAAGGCGCTATTATTAATTACTAATTGCGATCTATTTATGGCAAAATATAAGGGCTTTTAGGGGCAAAACTGCACACAACCAGTTCCATAACAGATACTACAAGAGTACAGGGAGTTATCGGAAATTTGCAATCTTTTGGGTTATATAGGTTACAAAAATTCGTTATGACAAACAGTTTATTGGTCAGCTTTAATTCGATTCTTTGCTTGTGGAAAACAACGAACCTTTGTCCCCTTTGTCGAGTCAATGACAATCGCTTCTTTCTTCGCGATGTAACAGTTGTATTATCCCCCAGTGACATTGAATCCGAATCCGAATCGGAGCGTTATCAATTCCACATGTTTTTGCCTCACGTATGCTCCATGCTTATATATACATGTATATGCTGCACAGTCCAATGTTCAATAACACTCGGTATCAGCCCTGTTGATCTGGGAAAACATCTGGCAGGCATTTAACAATTGTATATGTACATTTATATAGTACAGCCCATTTTTCAAAGGGACCCCCGAGAGGGGGGAAGCCACCATCGCCATCTGTGACTCGTTGCGGATTAATCAAATTATTATTTTTGCCTCAGTGATTTAACTTTGAGCGTTGCGTAGGCTTAATCTATGAATACCAATGCCGATTTATGGCTGATGAGCTTATCATCATAAAAGAATGACGCGCCGCTTGTAACTGGTGATAAGGACTGTCCAAATGATACAAATTCGTCATCTTTTTTGGCGGCATGACAATGAGATATCCCGACTATTAATAAGGTATGATGGTAAACTAATTAATTGCGCAAATAGAGCACTTCACCTGTGCAGAACCTTGGGATTTCGTTTCTTCGAAGGGGTATGACTAGCTCTGATTTCCACCGAGTCTTAACCGAAGCTTAGCGATAAGCCTACTCGGGGGTGTAACGAAATACTTGGCTGATAAGCAGGGTTTACATAACTCTTGAGTAGGGGCCTTATCGCAGTGGCTAATGAACCCCGGGTCTTGGAATAATCGGGTTGGAAGAGGAGAAAAGGGGGCTGGGATCCGAGCACAGTTGCACATTTTAATTACACGCTGCCAAGCAGACTCGGACAGGAGCAACAAAGTTTTCGCCCTCGTACAATCGCAATCCGAAAAAGTTTACCCTTGACGTCAGTGGGCCGACGCTTTCGACGAGTTTGCATGTCAAAGGAGAATTACATTTTTGTTACCTCGATTTAACAATCATACTTGGGCTATATACCATACTACACATACTACACACATATATGCATGCAAACATGCCCCCGTTCAGATTCGGGTGTGTCTGCCCAGTGAGTCAGTCAGGCAATTTACCATTTCCAACTGCCGAGAACCGATTTCCCGGCATCGCCCAAGGACCTGGATCCCCATCCCTTCTCTAAGGACTACGCCACTGTGGGCCCTGTGCAACAGTTTTATGCTCGATAATAGTTACTTGCAATTACCAGCTACTTGTAATTGCATTTAAAATTGCCGTTTTCGTTGCTCGTTTGTCGTCAGAGCTGGGTTTTGAGTGGCCATTTGAGTTGTTTTTGATTGCTTGCTTGGGTTCTTCACATGGATCGAGTGGGCTCTTTACCGGGTTTGACATTTCGAGCATTTTCCAAAGGGCCTTCAGTTATATGGCAAAGTCCACAACCAGGAAAAGGAAAACAACTGACGCGTTTGCCCAGTCACGATAGAGGAAAACTGATAAATCATAGGTTTCATTCCCAAGGAACGTGATGAAATTAGGTGCAGAGTCTACTGACCCATGCAGGAATACAGTAGTAAATCTCGATGTCGATAATATCCAAGCCTGTAGACTCTTTACATTAATCAAAACTGGCTTAACAACAATTTCTATAGCAGGTTATTTAAAGCAGACCATTTATAATCCATTAATTACCATTAATAAGTAATTAAGGAACTGAAAATTGGATTGTTTTAATAGAAAACTAACATATATCATCAGCTTTCATTGCTGACTTATCGGGATTTCAAGGCCTTGACTTTAATACACATTTATATATAGTTTTAATGGTCTCGCCCACGGTGTCCTTTATAGTCCCTCCATTGATTGTGATTCCTTATCGGATTGCCTGTCAACAGGCTCCCTAATCAGATCTTTCTGCTCCGCCAACACGACATCCATTTTCTAGGTGTAATTATATTTGCGAACACTGCTGTTGCCCCTCCCCCCCCCAACTAGTGAAAGCTTTCTCCCGGGGAGGGGAAATGGGTAAGGTTCAGGGATAGGGATAGGAGGATTAGAAGGCAGCTGGATGATGAGTTCTTTCAACACCCTTGAAGTGTGGGATTACTAGTTGGGTGTGGCATTGGTAGGCGGATGGGTGGTTGGGTGGATGGGCGGTGGGCGGATGGGCGTATGGGCGTGGCTCGAGTGTGCGACTTGCAACAATTGAAAGATGTGCAACGAGGCAAGTTTCCAGGCAAGATTTGATGAGGCAGCTCAAGTGGCAGAGGGGCGATGGAGGCGGGTCAAGTGCAGCAGCCGCTGGCCAATTTGCTTGTCTCTCGTGTCACGACAAAAGGCCAATTCAAGCTGTGAAATTTGAATATAAAGCAGACATTCATACCATGGTCAAAGGACCCAAAGAGATTCAGCCCTTAAATTCATAAGATTTACATAGACTAGTCCCTCTATACTTATAACATATGCAACTGATGGGATAGCAAACCAAATGAAAAAACATTTTAAAAGATTATTCCCATTGAAGACCCACTTGAAAATGTATTTATTTTGGTATTCCTCTTATGATATCAGTTCCCTATATCACGTTTTTTAAGCGGGTAAACA